ACGTTTTAATACATACCTGACTGTTACTTAACACAAGATGACTGATAATCCAGGGATTTCCAAACAAAAACGCGTCTTTTCACACGACAGGCCTAAGACAGTGCCCACTGTCTTCTGCTGCAACGGAGCAATCGCATATCACGTGACCCTTCATTGAACTTTCTGTCACTGGGCGCAGGTATGAACAGGCCCGATGGGATAGCACTGGTAGGAATTCGCATGGGACTTGATAAAGAGATCTCATATAAGACTAATGGTGTTTGGTGTTGTAATGCCGTGATGCCCTACCCTGAACTGAACCGTATAAGTATTCAGATTGAGCCCGCCGACACATAGCCATAGGATCTGGGGAAGTTAATATCTTGGCGAGCGTGAAGAGAGGGATTCTAAGGCTCGTTCAGTACAGTTTATGACTGTCATTACAACGTTTTAGGCTATGGTTTTGTTCACTTCAAACAGGTTAGGTGATCGGTTTTTTTCTTTATGTTTAAAAGATACCAGTCTCGAGCTAGCGAGAACATATATTTTGTTTGGAGAGAATGTAAAGCGGCTCTCTAACGTTGCACTGGACATTTGTTTTGCATATCTGATTCAAGGAATATTTTTTGAGTATCGTCTTTACAGCTTTAACACTTTGGACAGTTTTGGATGGTTCTTTACGAAAAATGGATTTGGAATTGCGTCTGTATCGCATAACCAACAACAAAATGCTACATGGCATGTAAGTGGCTCTATGTCTACAGATTAGACTCTATGTATTCAAATCACGATAGTTCCATGGAGGTAACGTATCATCAAAACTAATGCATGCTCCGACACAAAACTGATCGTGACTAAATGTAAATAAACTAAGGGTCAAAAGAAAGTATACCGAGTTTGTTTTTATGTAATTGAGAAATTAAAGAACTGTTGTTAAATATTATCATGTCTATCTAACCATCACCCAGCAACATTTTGTAAAAAGTAATCTGTGGCTGGGTAATTGTGTGTAAAAATAAATTGGTTCTATGAATACTGGAGTAAGAAATGAATTTGCACCCACGTGACCCCTACCATGTTTGAAATGATTTGTGCCGAAAAAGGAAAATTTATTTATTTTCAAAGATAAGATGTCTAAGATACCCGTCATCAGTTGTGTATTATGCAAGAAACAAATAGTTCTATAAAGTTAAAATATAGTTTTATAAAGTTAAAATCAGATTAGATTAAAAAAAAAAAAAAAACCACGTAAAATTATTCTTTGGATGTTGTACGCCAGTCCAGTTATGATGATATATATATATATATATATATATATATATATATATATATATATATATATATATATATATAATGTCGTTAACTTAAGATATTTTAATTGAAAATCTGATTGGGATCGATGACATGCAACAACCAAGTCGGCGATCCTGAGCAATAGTTAATCTGTGACGCCAATCATACCCGATTCTTTTATGCTTTAGTCATAGTCTGTCATGCCATGCCAAACCATAGTAAAATGAAAGAATCGAGAGATCCTTAACTTCTTTTGAGTACTACATATACAGCAGTCAGAAAGAAAAAGAACATTGAATGTGTGACTCTCTGTTCTACCACAGTATACATGTAAGTACTAAAGCTACCCTGGTCTCTCAGGGGGGTTGTTGTAAACAGAAGATTGATCAATTTTGTACAGCAATATAGTCGACATCACCAGTAGCAGCTTCTTCCCGAGGCAAGCGTGCCCACTAGCCTATATCAAAGTCTAGTTTCTACATCTTCCCGAGGCAAGCGTGCCCACTAGCCTATATCAAAGTCTAGTTTCTACATCTTCCCGAGGCAAGCGTGTCCACCAGCCTATATCAAAGCCTAGTTTCTACATCTTCCCGAGGCAAGCGTGTCCACTAGCCTATATCAAAGTCTAGTTTCCACATCTTCCCGAGGCAAGCGTGTCCACTAGCCTATATCAAAGTCTAGTTTCTACATCTTCCCGAGGCAAGCGTGTCCACTAGCCTATATCAAAGTCTAGTTTCCACATCTTCCCGAGGCAAGCGTGTCCACTAGCCTATATCAAAGTCTAGTTTCTACAAGACTGATAAAAAGGCTAATAGACGCTCTTGCCTCGGGAGGATGCAGCAGCAGCAGTTATCAATAAACTAATATGATCAAACTTACGTTTGCCTTTCGGTAGACGTTGAGTACTTGAATGGTGACGCCTACACAAATGTCGCAAGCGAAACCTGGAGAGTATTTAATCACTGGGGGTAATACTAAACCCCCTGTACAGACTTACACGGGGATATATATGTAATCCGCCTGGGATAGCCAAACCATTAACTAAAAGATCAAATTATTGTCTAAGGACATGCGTTTTGTTCCTAAATCCCAACTATTGTCTAACGTATGTGTAAATCATAATACGATCAGCTAAACTTACGCCTAATTAATAACAATCGTCTTAAGTGTTTCGCCGGTAATCTCGCCAACCAACTGGAACTGCACACTTCGCATTAGTCTGTCTCAGTCGATGAACCATACTATATCCCTTCCGCCCAGCCCCAAGTATAAGGGACCCGACCATTTGATATTCTGACGGGGTCATGGGATTTTGTATGGAGATTAGATATTTTTCAACTCTCAGCTGCAAAACCAGATATATTTTTTAAATAAATTATGTGTCTGAATATTTTGAAAAGAAAAACACCTTGCATTTTTGTGGCAGACAATTTCGTTCTATTTTTCAACAGTCTGAGGCCAAAAAAAAAAAATTCAAGAATTTTCTGGGACAAAGTATGCTATAACTCTTAATGAAGCAAGTCTAGCGTTTCCACAGGTTTGAATTTCCCATCTCACTTGGGCTCCTTTTAAATTTAAATGGTGTTTATCAAAATTACATATTTTCAGAGAATAAGCGTTAGTCTAACTACACCCCTGTCTACTTGCACAGGTGATCACAGCGTAACGACCGTGAAGATCCGGGATAGAATAGGTCTTCAGCTACCCATGCGTGTTGTAAGGGCGAATATGCTTGTCGTAAGAGGCGACTAACGGGATCGGGTCGTCAGTCTCGCTGACTTGGTTGATACATGTCATCGTATCCAAATTACGTGGATCGATGCTCATGATATCAATCACTGGATTGTGTGGTCCAAACTCGATTATTTAGAGACCGTTGTCATATAGCTGGAATATTGCTGAGTGCGGCGTTAAACAACAAACAAACACAGCGTCACGGCAACACATACACATTATCAAAGTCGTAGCGCTAGGATCGCTTTGTGCAAGTAGGTCTATTGTAGGCGTATATGTTTCTTGATCTATTGCCATGACCTGATTGTACACATTCTAACAGGATCAGTGTACCACATTCAGCATTAAACAACAACAATGGGTAATTATACGGCGTTAAGCCCCCGTAGATCACACTGACAGAACAGATTATGGACCAGTGACCTTGAAGTTGTAATTCTAAAGAGATTAGTCGACTGCTTAAACATCTTGCGGGGAATGAGAGCCGCACTTTACACGCTTAGCTAATTACACAAAATGAGAAGGAGCACGCAAGTTTGAAACGCAAAAGCTGACTGGATAATGAAGGTAAACGACAATGTTCGTGTGGAAATAGTTGCATTTCTCATTTGCAAACTCAGCGGTATTACCAAACAGTATTCGTGTGGAATAAAACATTTTTGTGTTCGAGTTGGTGAATAATCGGTGTAATACGAGTTAAACAGCTTTGGTATTTCATAATTCTGACTTAAATGAGGATCGGGTGGTCACAATACGCGACCAGGATCCACTTGCACAAAGCGATCTTAGCTCTACGACTATCGTAAGTCGAATGGGCGATACGATTGTCATAGCGCTAAGATCGCTTTGTGCTAGTGGGCCTCAGCTGATTGTATGTCATCGCACCCGATGGCGTGGAGCACCCATGTTGTCAGTCGTTAGCCTGTCTGGACTCGATATAGTGGGGACATTGTCGACTGCGGCATTAATCAACATTCACCGACTCGCACCCAATTTATCCCGAGCTGACCTCAGAGGCGGTCCCTGTTCTCAGTGTACGCTTATGTAAGGTTAAGCCAACTGAGGGCACCTGCGTCTTTCTTTGTCCAGGGGAACAGACACCTTTATACGGTTCTAACACAGTCACACTGACACACCTGTCGGAACAAATGGATCATTATCGATCTGCTTTATCGACGGTGATTCAATGCTACATGGGGTGTATGTTGACAGGAACGCTGAGATTTAATGGGGAACATGGGGTCTCGCTATCGCGTTATGAACGCAAACATTTGTGACAGCAAAGTTGACACGGCGCCACGTAACCATTTGGTGTTCAATACAAACAAGTAGCTGCGCTGTAGAACATGATAATAATATATATTACAATAAAATGTTTATGTAGATTCCACACATACGCCTGCTCAAAGGGCAGGACATATTACTACCCTAGTTACGGATCAGTGTGCGTTTAATTCTCACCTACCTGAAGAACGTGGAATAAAGCATTTTGTGTATGTATATAAGTGTTTATACTGTCGAAGCCATTCATTTATATGACAAACGTTTATTATATATAATGTAACTGAGGAAGATTATGGACGTCGGTATACGCGAAGATGCGGTGGCCTCAGGTAAAACTAATATAGATAATTTAATACACTATTGCTACACGCTCGCGTTGTTGGTAACACAGACTGTATTGGGTCAGAGAAGCCATGTGACTGGATGTCCAACTAGAGTAAAATTCCTCATGTTATTCCACTCATAAAAGTGATCAAGATTAGCACACATTAAACCGTCATCACAAACTAAATTTAGTTAATAAAACAAACACCTTTCGTTTCGTACACATTGGGACGACTCGCACTTGAACTTTTTGTTTGGTGATCGTAATATCGAGATGAAGAATGTTTCATTATAGTTAATGTATAAATTACATTAATTACTGTTTACTATCGTCATAAGACTTGTATTGAACAGCAGTTTTGCCACTTGGCCGACAGTTTGTTTACCTTTAAGGTCATCGCCGTTTACTGTAACATTCTCTCGCAGACATTTATCTTCTTCCATGTTGCCATCACTCTGACAGTTGGTTGCCGCGGTATCCGTCTCATCCATGTTTATTGCACAAGTTGATCCCGCCAACTGAACACTTCTGCCACGAGTAGCAGACGACACGTTTCCACGCCAGACCCAGTCGCCTGTCACTGAGCAGCAGGGTTGAGCATGCTCCCCTAATCCGTTCTCTGTACGCTTGTTAAATCCAGGTATTTGTAAGTATTAAGGAAGCAGAAACTCCAGATATTCGAAAACAAAAGTGATCCCCCCACATGGACTAAACCAGCACACCCGTAAACACCGCGATCTGTGACGCTCGATGCCTGTAACTATGAGCTTATATCCAAATCCCTTCACAAACGGGCCCGTCCTAATACGGGTGTTGAGTGAATACTGCTTCACTTTGTTAAAATATAGATTTGCTTTAATGGCTTTGGCAGGTCAATGCGTGGCGTCATGACTGAGTGTTTTTATATCGTTATGACTGTTGTTGTGTTGTCATAAATCATTCAAGAATAAATGTTGACTCGTCTCAATCGGCACATATCGAGAGGGCACAGGATCGAAGATTCGACATCACAAATAACTATTATGAATGAAATCGCTAAACCAGTTTTGAACAGATCAATGGTAAATTATGCACTGAGTATGGTGTGGGTTACAATAAGAAACATAGCTATAGGATTGAAGCCGTTCTGTTAGTGCATGCATGCGTTCTGTTATTGGCGACGTGAGACACATTTAGCCTTGTACACATTGTTGGCGATTTTCTCTTTCATGAAATGAACAATGGCGTCTTGAGGGACAACAGTCACTTAGCTAATGAGGGTTAATGAGAGTTTAAGGAATCACAATGACTGTTTTAACATGTATTGCTATTTTAGCACGTTGAGTGCTTTTACTGTATTATTTTTGATATGATTGTTTCACAAAGGCCTCATTGGCCGGACGATGTGTAATACCTCTTTGAAAAAGTTGTATCAATGTTAGTAGAGCATTATCTTGTTTTATTTGAAAGCACATAAGAAATATCATTTTCATTAGATTTCATGTAAAGTACTTGGTATATTTCTTCGGCAATTAATTGTATATCTCATCTCTGCATATTTCTTTGGTAATTCAATAAGAGAATAATTCTCGATTACCACGGCAGCCAAAACCGATTCCATAGGGCGTAAAAGGCACAGTAGTGATGAAAGTCATGAATGGATAACTGACAATCAGTGATGACGCCCGGTGTTCGGGGAAAGAGTACGCATGTTCTAATCTACCGCACCACCCAACACTCACACAAGTTTCATTAAAAGAAGTAACTGTTAGTTTATTGCCTGACGTCGCACCCAGCAGTACTTCTGCCATACGACGGCGCACTGTAAGCAGTCGAGTCTGGACCAGACAATCCAGTGATCAGTATCATGAGCAGTATCACGCTGTCAACCATGTCACCAAGTCTGACCACCCGACCCATTAAAGTAAGTGCCCATGAGTAGGGAGGTGTGAACATTCCCTGTAAAGTTAATAATGTGGGGAACCATGGCGCATCATGTTGCCAAGCAACGTGTCATATTTAGCAAATTCCAATGAATATCTACCATAAAATTTCTGGAATGACTTAACCAGGCTTTCATGGTGAAACCTTGATTGAAAAACCTAGATGTAAGCAAAATGTGTCTTTTCATTAAATTTAAATAATATGTACATGCGCTTAAGTATCGCAGCTGAGAAATGTAGACGCCATTAGCTGGAGTTGGTGGTGTACTGCTCGGCATGAAAGACAAATTCGCGATGGGAAAATGAAAACCATCCCATTTGTCAAACAGTTTGGTTCAGAGGTTGCCATCATTTTGAGTTTCTATGCACACATTCAGATAGGACACTGAATATGGCTTCTCAGTCGTCTCGTTGGTTTCCAGCTGGCGAATAGATGAAACGAACAAACTCATTTATCTGGGCACTGTTGAAAGGAATGAGGTCATCTATATATCCGAAACTGAGGTTGAACGTCTTGGTGATGTGTCCTTTCTTTGATATAACTAAAAAAGTAGTAAAACAATCCTTTTCGTATGCAAAGAGAAACAGATCAGCACGCTTAGTACCCATAACTCTACTTTTCTAAATGTTCTGTCTTAACAGTTGACAAAGATATTGTAAATGAAGAATATGTCTCTGAATATGTCTGAGTAGAGTTACATTCTGTTTTAACCAAATTGACCACATCCATTAAAAATGGTGATAAATTAAATTCCCGACTCCTTTCTTGGAAACAAACACTGTTGAGTACAGAATGAAATTCTCTTTCAATTTACCATGAGAGTTATAATTGTATCAGATTTCATGCCAAATGGATTGCATATTTCTTAGACAAATAAAAACCATGTTTGATCACATGTAAAACGCGCGGCATATATTGGGTAATTAATCATGTTGGCATATTATCAAATTTAACCCATGCAATAAATACAAAAGTGATTTAAATTATTTTTTAAAAATGAGGTTATACACGTATACTAATGTCTACTAAACAACACATACAGACCCGACATTTTTTTTCAATTTGTGCGAGGTTGACCATAGATATAGTTACATCTGTATCTTCAAAGGTTCGGGGCACTTTGTCAACAATGAAAGGAAGCGTTTACTGAGAAAACAATATGTGAAATACTTGACTTCCTCATTTATAACATCTATGTGAAATTTGGGGATAAGACATTTAGAAATGAAATATGCATACGCACGGCTCCCACCCTTGCTGGCGGGTCTCTGATTTAAACATATTTATTCACAAGGAGTGAACGGGATTGGGGGACAAGTTCTTCCAACTTAGAATGCCCTCTCCCTGGTATTTACAAAATATTCACAATTTCAAATTCAATATATATGCATAAAACATAAAACACTATAGATGAGAGAGAGAGAGAGAGAGAGAGAGAGAGAGAGAGAGAGAGAGAGAGAGAGAGAGAGAGAGAGAGATACATTGTTGAATGAACAGTTCTTTAAGGGTCTCTATATGTTAGACTAACATCTAGTCTCTGAAATGAACATATCGTACAGAAAGAACCCAGTTGTTCAGTTATCTTAATAAAATTATAATAAAAGGGAGCCCAGTGACTCTCTTCGTTTTAGACTTGCCAAACATTATAGACTTGCATGGGTTTTATTTGATATATCTGTAAGACAGATGTATCTGTAAGACAGACTATCTATATGTGTATGAATCGGAATTTCTGCTCGGATTGGCAAACTCAGAACAAAGGAGTTTGATCAAGAATGAGTGAGTGATTTTGGTTTACCGCTGCTTTTAACAGTATTCCAGTTATATCACGCCATGACAGCTTAATGTGTGAGGAAACCTAGAAATGGTGCTAACAAACCTAGAAACATAATCGGGACGAACCGGGATTCGAACCCACAATCATAGGTTTCTGTCGTGCCCAAGGGACACCAACTCTGAATAGCGAATCGCTGCGCCTTAGACGACTGGGCCACCCGTGCCCCCAATTTGATCAAGAAGTAAGTTCAAGATGATTATAATTGGTCAAATAGCCAGTCTAGTAGTCTACCCCCAATTTACCTACCTGAACCCGAAATACAAGAGACCAGTGAAACCGCATCATCTGTTTCATATTTGTATTCAGAGATTCAGAGTGACAACACTCTCCACAATACTGTATGACAAGAAGGATGACTTCAACCTTCCAATAGTCAACTTTCCCATAATGTCGAATAATATTCCAGCCTTTTGTGTCTACATTTCACAACTTGAGGTACATTCGAGCATGCTATTTCTTCGAAGATTTCAAAGAGCGTCATTGCTCAAAAGTTGTTTGATCAGGGTTACAACATTCAAGGACATAGTAAAGCTCCCAAAACGTTTTATGGTTGACACGTAGAGGATATTTCCGGAATTGACGCATCAGTGACAAAACTGACGTCCGGCGCAATTCCCTATATTGACTTATACCATATGTTCAAGTGTTATTATTTTCAGGTTGTATGTGTTTATGACGGGTGCCACCGATATATTCGCTCACATTTTCGCGAACACCTGGTGTCATCACTATTTGATAGTGATTGATAAAGACATGCGCATGACACAGTCGGAATCGTACAATGGACACTTCTTTTAGCCGACATGGCTTATGCGTATTTGGAAGAGGTGCTTGTGGCTTTGATTCACCAAGTTTTACCATGTGGATATGTTCCTATCTGTTAGCGAGATTCATACCTTCAATGAGTTACGTTATTGTCACACTCCCATAATGCATTCACTTCAGACCAACTTTTGCATTAATGTATTATGTTGATGAAGAAAAATGCTCGGCTAATTTCTGTCGACAAGGTCCTGGACCCGTGATGAGCCATGGTAAAATAGGTCTTCAGCAACCCATGCTTGCCCCCAAAGGCGACTATACTTGTCGTAAGAGGCGACTAACGGGATCGGGTGGCCAGGTCCGCTGACTTGGTTGATGCATGTTAGCGATCCCAATTGCGTGGATCGATGCTCATGATGTCAATCACTGGATTGTCTGGTCCAGACTCGATTATTTACCGACCGCCGTCATATAGCTGGAATATTGCTGAGTGCGGCGTTAAACAACAAACAAGCAAACAAACAAGGACAAGTTCCTGTGTTGGATTCTTATAAAATGCACGGCATTTGTTAAGGCATATAATCTATGTTGCATTTCCTTTACAATGCAAGTGATATTCCTGAGGCACATAATTCATCCTGGAGTTTATGTAAAATGTAGGCCAGATTTCTTATGCCCATAATATCTGTTGGCTTTTATGTACAATACAAGGGATGTTTCTAAGGCGCTTAATCCATGGTGGATTTCGCGTTAAATGAATGAACCATTTCAATATTGGATTTCACGTAAAATGCCGGACATCTGTTTTAACCACATCCTTTTTGGATTTCATTTAAAACGCACGGCATAGTTCTTTGGCACATGGTCTATGATTGATTTCATGTAAAATGCATGTCATCTTTCTATTTAAAGGCACATAATCCATGTTTGATATTTCTTATGCATTTAATCTTTGTTGGATTGTAAAATGTATGTGATATGTCTTATGAACATAATTCAGGTTTTGGTTCTTGTAAAAAGCATGTGATATTTCTTATGCACATAATCCATTTGGGATTTCGGGGCAAAATGCAGGTCATATGTCTTAGACACATAAGCTAAGTTAAGTTTCATGTAACATGAATGGCGACATATTTTATTTCATGTTCAATGCATTGCAAAAACACCGCCTGCAACACATTTCATGTTTCCATTTAGACTAAATATTGAATACGAAACTGCTGTCCTGTTTTCTCTTTTGACAATTAATCCTAC